CCCCGTGGGGCCCCGGGGGAGCCTGTGCCAGCCCTTCCCTGCGTCTGGAGGCGGCCCGCCTCCTTGGCTCCTGGCCCTTCCTTGAATCACTCTGATTCCTGCTTCTATCATCACATCTCCTTCTCTGACTCCCCTGCTTCCATTTTCCCCTTATAAGGACCCTGTGACTACTTGGGGCCCGCTTGGACAACCCAGGATCATCTCGTCCTCAAACCTGGTAAACATGATCACATCTGTGAAGTCCCTTTAGCCATAAAAGGTAACATTCACAGGTTCCAGGGATTAGGACATGGGCATCTTTTAGGTTAGAGGGTCATTATTCTGTCTACCTTAGTCTACAAGAAAAGATAGGAAAAAAAAATGATAGTGACTTTAGGTTGAAAAGAATTTTTTTAATCCAACACACAAAAAACCTACAAAAATAAGCGAACTGGGCTTCATCAAAATTAAAACCTTTTGCTCTTCAAAAAATATGTTAGTAAAATGAAAGGCAATCTGTAGATTGGAAGAACTATTTGCAAAGCATATATCCACCAGACATATCTAGGGCATATAAAGAAGTCCTACAACTCAATAATAAGAACACAACCCAATTTTTTTAATGGGTAAAGAAGCTGAACTGAAATTTCACCAAACAAGATGTACAGATGGCAAAAATCATGTGAAAAGATGCTTAACAGCATATATCATTAGGAAAATACAAATTAAGACCACCATGAGATACCATTTCACACCTGCTAGAAAGGCTAAAATCACCAAAATTGGTGATTCCAGATGTGAATGAGGGTGTGAAGCAGCCAGACTCTCACATGCCACTGGAGTGAGTGTAAAGGGGCAGGGAAAACGGCCTGCATTTCTTAGGAAATTAAACATATACCCCACCATACGACCCAGTCATTCCATTCCTCAGTATTTACTCAAGACAAATGAAAGCACAGTCCATACAAAAACTTGGACAAAATATTCATGGCAGGTCTACTTGGAAAGCCAAGGTGTGGGAACAGCTCAAATGCCCATCAGCAGGTAAACAGAAAAACAAATTGTGCTGATATAGCTATACAGTGGAATACTACTTAGCAGGTAAAGTGAATTTTTGACACATGTGACATAGATGAATCTCAAAAAACTGTGTGGAGTGAAAAAAGCCAGACAAAAGTAAATCCATTTATATAGAACACTAGAAAATGTAAATCAGCTTATAGTAGCAGAAACAGATAAAGATTGCCTGGGGACAGAGGAGGGTGGCCAGGGAGAGGAAAGGCGGGGACAAAAGATGGGATTTCAGGGAAGCATGAGGTCACTTTTGGAAGCAAGAGAAATATTCACCATATTGATTATGGTCACGGTTTCACAGATGGATGTAAAACTTTAATTGTATACTTGAAATAGGTGCTGTTGATGTCAATTATACCTCAATAAAATCGTAAAAAAATAAATAGTCAAGAAAAGAAAAACCAGAGCCTTGGATCTGGCAATGCAGAGGTCACGGGCCCTCTGCCAGTGATGTGAGTGAGCAGACAGGCAGGACCATCGGATTCTAGAATTATCACAGACTGTGTATTTCCCAAAGTGCTCACTGCAACGAAAACACACAGAAATAAAGCATAACATTCCTTTTGACATATGCTCTTAAGCAACCACTTTCATGTTCACCAACACAAGGGAAATTCCAAAGGTAAATAAAAGAAGGGGAGCTCAGAAAGACTGAAGAATAGAAAAAACCCACATATATCAGTGACCACAACAATGCCCACTGGTTAAACTCCTGAGTTAAAAGTGATTGAAATACTGGATTTTGAAAACCCAGCTAAATGTTGGTTAGGAAAAATAGGCCTAAGGAGCATAAAAAGACTGCAAATAAAAGAATGGAAAAATAGATAAAGTACCAGGCAAATACTAACCCAAAGAAAGCTGGTGTGTCTACTAATATTACAGAAGATAACCCTTAAATTAAAAAACCTTTTTTAGGGTTAAAGAAGGTTACTATGGAATAAAAAAAAGAGCCACTCACTAGGAAAATATAAGAATTATAAACCTACATAATTATGCACTCGCTTATATAATGCAGGACTATTTAGATCAAAAGATGACAAAAGAGGAAATTGACAAATGAGACACGACTGTGGTTTCAACATACTTCACCTAGTTGCAGGTGGAAAACTAGTCAAATGACTGAGGATTCAACAGTTAACAAGCTCGATCTGATGAGTACTTAATGAGCCCTGCATGAACCATGAGAAATAGAATTCTTTTCAAACCTGGGACATGTACAAAACACAACCTTGAACTATGCTACAGAGCCAGTTTCAACTGATTTTTAAGAATTGATATCACACAGACCATGCTCTCTGATTATAATGTAATTAAACAGAAATCAGAAACAAAAAGATAACTGAAACATACTTTTAAATAAACCATGGGTCAAAGAGCAAATCGTAGTGGAAACTAGGAAAAAATATTAGAATTGCAAGATAATGCAAATGCTACATACTAAAACTAATGTTACACAACTGAAGTTGTACTTTGAAGGGCTCTTATGTCCTGTCCTCCAACATGAATACTTTTTAAAAGAGTGAATGGGAGAGGAGGAAGTGTGGAGATAAAGTGTAAACTGTGTTATTAGGAGTTTGAGGAAGGAAGGAGGTGGGTAGAGAGGAGTTCTGATGGACGGAGGCTCATCACCAGAGGCAGCAGACAGGGAAGAGGAGAAGGTAGGAAGGATGCTGGATCCCACTTGCCAACACGATTCTCATCTCCCCAACCACCAGCCAACCACCCCAGGGCAAAAACCCCCATACCTGTTTTCTACAGGGGAAAGTCCTAGGGTTTGAAGCTTCATATGGTTATAGAAATAAGACAGGAATTGCCAGGCCTATGACAAAAGACAGCTTTTCTGCTTAAAAACATTCAAATTTGACCCACCATTCACCCCACAAAACTTCAGCAAAAAGAAAACTTCAGGCTTTAGATTCAACTTCCACGCCACCCCTCAGAGATAACCCTGGAATTACATGGATTTATGATGAGAAATTATTTGAGGATTATACTCTGGAATCAATTCAGGAAGAAAATATTCTGTCTTCATAAGATTTAGAATCAAATGTCTGACCAATTCAAATAAATACTTTTATTAAAAAATGTACTCTTCATATTACAGCATTTGTATACTTTAAGGAACATTAAACCTGCTAGTCCAGGGCTCCTTTGCATAGACCACACCGATTTTGTAATCTGGGAGAGTTACTTTAGATTTTTTCCCCCCGAAAGGCTTTTATTTCCATTGCGACAGAGTGAGATCTCTTGCCAAAATACATGGGACTCAAAATTAAGCACTTGATCCTCAGCAAGACCCAGCAGAAGGTGCCACCCCTTACTACACTGTCCTGAATGGTGGCGCTGAGCAGGGGCAGGAAACAGGAATGAGACCTCTGGCAGTCGAGGTCTGCATCCTTGATTGTTTGGTACCTGGGACTTTGGAATTCTTGGGCCCTGAAGCATGCCACTGTGATGCCAGTCTGAATCTGTAAGGTGACTTCAAGCTATGACGGCATTGAAAGGACCGCTCACATGCCATCTGTCGGGAAGTCAGTTGCTAGTTTAATGACATAGCTGGTGGGGTGGAGGTGGTCTGGATGCAGGACTTCTGGCAGAGGCTGCAGCAGGCTGCTCTGTCCCCTGGCTCCTGACAACACAGTCCTTGGTGCTTGCCCAGGCATGTTCATGAACTCCTTTCTCCTGACACCAAATAGCAACCACACCTCTCTCCTTCCCAAATGGTTTGATTTTAATGTTTCCTTTCGGATCCCCAGCTCCTTCCTGCCTTGCAACATATTTGAAACGATTGTACCACATTATTCCTGAGTTTCTGAGTCTACTTGGTTCCTTCCAAACCTCACACACTACATGCTTTGGTGGTGTTTTTCTTGTCTTGGTGAAGGAGGATTAAAAGCATCTCACTTTGAGAAATGTCTTAGGACAAACTCTGAGAAACTGTGCTTGGGAAGGGCTGGTTGAGTGAACAACGTCTTTTCAAAATGTGTGTGAAGGAGCCTCAACTAAAAGTGGTGCTGACCGCTTTCCCACCTGTGGTGGGGGGAGTCTCCGGGGCGTTTGGGAATTGCATGCTGGGCACAACAGTATCACCAGGTTCAAGGCACTGGAGGCATGTACCTGCTGCAGCCAGGATATGTGGATGAGTCTGTAAAATATCACTGAGAGAAAGAAGCCAGACCCCAAAGAGTACATACTGCATATTCTGGTCATCTGAAACTCCAGAAANGGGGGGGCGCAGCTAGCACTGGTAGGGGACGGGCAGGGACTATTTTTGGGAAATGGAAGTGCAGGATGTTTTTCATGGCGGTAGTTACAGGGGGTACATATTTGTCTAACCGCATAGTTCTGTACACTTTAAATGATACACGCAAATTTGTATGTGAAGAAGTTAAGAAATATGTAACGAGAGAAGGAAAATCTGCACATATTTACATAGTGCTCTGTTTTTCTTCCTGTTCTCAAAGTTGTCCTGGGCCTTTGTAACACTTCCAGACGTGTTTGAAATTCCTTTTTTTTTCTTCAGCAATTCTTACTCAGAAAGCACTTCTAAGTGTAAGAACCTTGACGTTAATTTTGTTGGTTACATAAACAATACAGAGCAAACATACATTAATTCGTTCGTTCTTGCTGAAAACATTAGGCAGAGATACGCTTTTTGCCATGAGTCACACAACATGTCATACTTAGTTAAATTGCACATACTTATTGGACCTACCCTGATTTTTCATAGGGTTGCTTTAACTCTGTGCTACATTTTCTCCCTATTATCTGGGTTTGGCTTCTTCACTTGTTTTCTGTCTTAGTAAAACATAGCTCTCCATATTTACGTCTCTTTTGCTAGGGGTGCATGGGAGCTAGTGATGCAGTTTGTGAACCTTTCTCCTCTGACAAACAAGTGCAGATGTCCTCAGGCCCCATCTCTGATGCCTCTCTCCTTGCCCTTCCAGGCTCCAGAGCCAGGCGCACACCTGCCAGGTGAAAGTGAGATTGAAGATAAGCAGCTTCCCCCTTCTCCTGCAGAAGCGGAGGACCAGGGATGGAGCCAGGAAACAGACCAGGATGATTTTGAGACACTGTCCCACCAGAGTGAAAGTCCATCCAACACAGAGACTGACTCCTTTGAAAGTGCTTCCGACACAGAGTCCCTGCCTGGCAGTGACACAGAGGGAATCTGCCTCCCTCCAAGTGGTACCCCCGGGGACAGAGAAGGATGCTGTGGATGCTCCAGTGTCCCAGCAACCAGACTGCGTCCGGAGCAGCATGCAACTAGTGTCCCTAAGATTGACCCAAAGGAAGATCTAGATTTGCCTGTTGACTTCAGGGAAGACTCTTACAAAAGTGGGTTCCAAGCCTTTGCTGCAGTTGCTGGAGAAGAAAAGACACAATACCTCCAGGACAGCGAAGCCAGCCTGGAGCCGGAGTCTTTGCTGGCAGGGGCTTCTCACCGCACAGAGGGCTGCTCGCAGGGTGCCCCGGGCAGCCACAGTCCCCAGCCAACGGAGGTGGTGTCCACACAAGCCCTCCAGGGGCTCTCGGTGCTTGCTCGTCAGAAATCCAGGTCTGAGAGCTGTCTGGGCATCCCGGTGGTCTGGCCCTTCCTTCTCTGGTGCTGTGAGCTGGGCCAGAGCTGGCCACACACCCACAACAGGGCCAGAGGCCCAGCGCTGCCTGCCAGAGGCCCACCGGACAGCACAGCCCCTCTGGGAGCCAGGACAGGGGCAGGCGGTTCCTCCGGCTCCACCGGGAACACAGTCGCGCTCTGCTCCCAGCCCTGCTTCGCTGCCCACTGCCAGCTTTCTGTAGGCACATCTTGCCTCCTACATGCTAGGCTTTGCCATAGCACCCCAGAAAATATTGGTAACAAGGGCAGGGCACCCCTAGGGCACTGCTGTCAGCACACAAGGACCCTGAGCAGGGCCCACTCCATCGCAGGGTTTCTGCTAAGACACCCTGAGGATCCTCTGGGACAGAAGTTTGTGAAGTTTGGGACCTATCTGAAGGAAGGGACAGAGGCAGAACGGGATCCAAGGACGCAGCGCTCTCCTCACCCTGCTCCCACCCAGCTGTCTTATTTGATTCCTGCTTCCCAGAGGAGGGCTCCTTGTTTGCAGGATCAGAACAAACCCAGTGCTTTTAGCTGGAAAAGGCCCTCTCAGGACACTCCCTCTGAACATCTCTGGCTGGAAAACCAGTTGGGACAGGCTTCTCAGCCCTGCCCGGTCTATTCATGCCTCACCGTGGAGTTGGTGAGCCTCAGTGCAGAACAAGCGCCTGTGCCTATAGAGCGCAGGTTGGAACCCGTCCTGGGAGGCAGACCAGAGGGACGCGAGGGCCCTGGCCCCGCCCCAAATGCTGCCGACCTGCGTGATACACAGACGCACCTTCAGGACATTTCTGCTGAGGCAGGAAACCAAACCAGTAATTGCACATCAAAGTATGTTCTCCCTGAAAAGAGAAAGCCACCTGCTGGGGCCAAATTCCCACAGGTGTTGAACCTTGCCTGGATGGGTTGTTCGGGAGTGAGTGAGTGTTCGGACGCTCCAGAGACGACCTTGAAATCAAGTGCAACAGATACTTCCAAGGACGCAGGAGATGTGATGGTTCTAGACGCCAAATGCACGAAGAATGCGTTGCAGTTCTCAGAAATAACAGCTGCCACGGCGTGTCGGTGCAGCGACGAGCGGGAGGAGGGCGACCCCGGGCAGGCGGCTGGAGCTCTGCCCTGTGCCCGGGCCGTGCGTCTGGAGCCCGGAGCAGACGCGTCCCCTGGGAGGGAGCGCGCGCTCACCGTCACAGCTGTTGAGCAGAAAGGTGTACAGGCCACTACGAGGAAGGTGGGTCCCCTTCCGGGAGCACGGTCCTGTGAGTCTCTGGAGGAGAGGCCCGGACCCCCGCGCGACGCTGGAGCGACCCCCAGAGAGCCTCCCAGAGCGGGGAAACCACGAGCTCGGAGCAGGGCGTGTGAGCGGCGCGCGGCCCGAAGCCCGGGAAGTGACCGCGGGGCTCTTCAGCGGGTGGCCCGAACCGCAGGGCCTGGGCGAGTTCCGGCGCCCCGAGCTGCTCGGGAAGACGGGCCCCCGGACCGAGAGGCGCCCTGTTCCCAGGAGCCCGCCGCGGGCAGGCAGAGCCCAGGGGGCCCTGCGGGAGGACCACCGCCGGCGGCGGGCCTGCCCACCGGGACCGGAGCGGGCGGGGAGAAAGCTGACGGGGCGCCCGCCCCCGGGCCTTTGGACACACGCGGGGCCCCGGGCCTCCAGCCCGCGAGGGGCCGCGAGGACGGGAGCGGGGGGCGCGGCGCGGGGGGCGCGGGGGGCGGCGAGGCCCCTGCGGGAAGCGCTGCGGGAGCGGCCACGGGCCCCTGCGCCCCGGCCCCGGTCCGCGCCCTCGCGCTCCAGCCGCCCGGCGGGCTGCGCGCGGCTGTGCGGGACCCCGCGGAGCGCCGGACGTTGCGCTCGCAGGCCTCGGCCGCCGGGAGCCCGGGAGGGGGCGCCGCGGCGCAGGGACCCGGGCGTCTGCAGCCCCCCGGCCCCAGCGCCTCGCCCGCTGCTTCCTCGGGCCTCGCGGGGCGCCAGGCAGGGCGCCCGGAGGACGCACCCGGGGGCCTCGGCCCCGGGACGCCGTCTCCAGGCGACTGCGGCACCCAGAGGCTCAAAACCCCCGACAAAAGGCTCCGGGCAAGGCTGGCCTTGGCGCAGAAGGCCTTTGCAAGTTTTTTTGACTCCAAAGTTTTAGAGAAAGAGAACCCCGCTGGACGTGGTGCGGGTGCCGTCCCCGGCTGGAAGGAGAGGGGCAGGCTGCGCCACAGCTCCTGGCTTGCGTTTCTGAAAAGCAAACACTCCGAAAGTCCCCAAAAGCCCCCCTCAGGGAGTCCGGGTCCAGGGTCGGAAATCCCCCCTCCTCGCAGACCTTCCCCATCGGGAGCCACCGACCACTGTGAGGAGCAGGCGGAGCATCAAGAGAGCTGTGTGTTTGGGGATCACTGGGCACCCCCGCACGCCCCCGCACCTTTGCCATCCGGCGATTTGGTCTCTCCAGATATCAGGAGAAAAAGTGAGCCAACCATCAAATGTACGAGCCCTGGGGAAAGTGGTAGGTACCTGCCTCCAGGTATCTTCCCGGAAAAGTCCTGGCTGGCATCACCCTCCCGCGCTCCTGCCCCGCAGACTGGGATCAGCCACACCTTCCCCTCCAGCTCTGCGGGGTGCTTGGCATATGGAAGCCGAGGGATGCCCTGCAGACCCATGAGCCCCAAGCCCAGCAGCCCCAGGGCTGGCGCGCAGCCGGCAGACTTCCACTACCCTGGCAAGGGCAGCGCCATCTCCATGCTTTGCCTGGGAAACTACAGCGATGTGGGCAGCAACTCAGAGGCCCTCGAAAGACCGAAGGTCCCCAGGACCCGGACTAGCCTCCTACTTTCTCTGCAGACGCTAGACCAGCATGACCAGGAGGAGCAGAAGGGGAAAGGAGGCCAGCACTGCAGTGGCCCCAGAACAGCACCCTCCCCCAGGGACCTTCCTGGGAGTGAGGTGAGTTACCTGCCACTTGAGTCAACCCACTTATTTACTTCTTAAGGCAAGAGACCCACAGGGGAAATTTCCTTAGTGCCGGGAGGACCTCCCCTTACACTCCCAGATTGCCCCCACGGTGATCCACACAGGGCCACCAGCTTGCAGGAATTTGACAAACTAACACGTGGAAACTGGCATTTCATTATGATTTTGTGTTTCTTTTTTCTTGTATAATCCAAGCTGTCTAAATTCCCTTTTCTTTCACCTGCCTGTTCAGCTTCTCTGCCCATTGTCTGTGGGGCAGTTGGTGCAAACTCTTGCCATCCTTCTCCACTGTGAAATTTACAGAAAGAAGTCCCACATGTTGCCTCCTAATATTTTTATGTCTCCTAGTATTTTTTTTTTTAATATAAGTCTGATCCAGTTGAAGTTGTCTCAGTATAAGGAGAAAGACAGGAGTTGTTGGTGCATCTGAAGTCCTAGTAAATTAGCACGTCTCTCCCCCTAGCAGAGGCCTGCCCCCAGGACAGGGTAAATGGTGTGGGGCAGGTGCCGGGGCTGGCACAGGAAAGGGGACACAGCTTGGGATTTCTCACAGATTGAGCTGCCCTCAGCTTAACTTTTTGAAAATTCCAGAAAGGACCCTCTTGGGACAGAGTCCTGCCATTCTTGCATCCTAGTGCCCTAGCCCTGTGGCTTCTTCTGACAAAAGGGTATTGCACGTTGTGTATGCCGAGCAGTCCTCGGGCTAGCAGGTGGGCTGGGCCTGCCACCAGGCTTCCTCCTGTGGGATGAGCCCCCACGCCTCCCGCGCCTCTCCCCTGCCACAGCACACTCCTCTCCTTTGTTCACATACCCGCCGCTCTCCTGTCTTCCCTATGCTCTGATGTGCATGCATACTAGGCCTGCCCTCTCCCCTGGGAAGCGATGACAGAGGGGAATGGGACCTAACATTTGTGAGGCACCCGCTGCGTGCTGGCCCTTTGCTGAGACCTGGGCAGTCACTTCACTCACTGCTTGCTGGAACCGGTGCAGGCTGTCCAGGGCTGTGCCTGTGGCCCCACTCGTGCTTCCCACATACGCCACCGGCGGGAGCCCAGGGACAGCGGCAGGGCCATGGGCTGGACCCAGCAACCCGGTGCACCCACAGCGCACCTCCAGCCCCGAGTGTGCTGGGAGCAAAGGGAGCCGGGCAGGGCTCCCACTGGGTGCTTTCCGGCCCTGGGATCAGACATTAGGCTTTCAAATATGATCATGCCACCACTTTATTCAGCACATCTCCTCACCTGTGAAGAGTCAAACAGTACCTTTCAAGGTTTTTTTTTCCTTTTGTGTTATTTTTTTAAATGATTATTAGTAAAGTTAAAAAAAGTCAGTAGAGATGTAGAAGGCAAAAAGTAGCAAAAGTAGCAATCTCCCTTCAAACTGTGCCCTCCCGTTCCATGGGAGGCAATGGGGCCAGCAGTGAATGTTATGTCTGCATGATGTTCACGCACAGTGATTATACGGGGGGCTGTGGGAAGTGAGAGTCACACGACTGGGTAGTTTACACATACTACACTGTAACTCCCTTGTTTACTTTAATAATACAGCAAATACAGCTCTCCAGCAGGTTTGCAGCCCCATTTGGAGGTTGCATGCTGTTTCGCAGTGTGACTCTACTGTAATTTAGTAAACTATTGATTGATGTTGAGGTGATTTCTGTGGGGCCATATGAAACACCGCAGAGCACCCTGAACACATGTCCCTGCGTACTGAGGCTCTTACTTCTGTAGGATATAAATGAGGGATGGCACAAAGGGCACATGTAATTTTTATTTTAATGTATTTCAGATTACTTTCTGAAATGCCTGTGGCAATGTACACGCTCAAGAGCAGGATGTGGGAGCGCCCATTTCCTGACATCCCCTGACTTAGATGATGGTTGCTTTTAATTTTTGGTCATCTGAAATAGAGAACTTGATTTAAAAATAAAGACATTATAGTGTTAGTGAACTCAGAGTAAAATCAAGTAGTCACAAAGATTATTAGTATCGAAATAATGCAATTAAGAAGATTGATTTCTAGTGCTATAAATATGTATGTATGTATATATGTTTACACACACACACACATGCAGTGGAAAACCAACTTTCCTGCCGCCCGTGGTCCCTGGGGTTAGGCTGGTGGTGTATGTGGGAAGGAGCTTGTGGGGCCCCAGGTGAACCCCTGCGTGGATTTTAACAAGCAGTGAATGATGTGGCTGTAAAGGGCTCAGCAAAGAGCCAGGCACCCAGCAGGTACCTCACAAATATTAGTTCCTATTCCTCTCTCTCCTTGAAAGTTTCCGGGAGGAGAGGGAAGGTTGAATATGTGAGCACGTCAGAACATGTGCCGAGACAAGAGAGCGGCAAATGCATGTGCAGCAGGTACGTGAACAGAGAAGGGGGCAGAGAAAAGCTGAGAAGGTTGCTGGCCTGCTGAATGAAGCCCAGGCGGGAATGAACGGGAAACTCACCCGGGACCCCTAAAGGCTCCACCTTGTGGCCGCTCCTGGGAGAGCAGGCAGTGGTGGCGGGGAAACGCGGAGGTCAGCCAGCCTTCCCAGTCTCCTCACAGTGCCTTTAAGGAGCAGGAGTCCTTTATTCCAATACCTTAAACAATCACTCTTAGTAGTTTGTTAAATTATCTTCCATCTTTTTCCTATAAACAGTTTTATGTATTTAACATGGCTATGATCATGCCATGTGTAGGAGCTTTAATTTGCTATGATTTTGCATCCTTTTGCTAGTTTGAGAAATACAGAATTCATCCAGGAGAGCAAGCCGCACAAATGTAGACAGTATATTGTTGCGAAACACACACCAAGTGCCTCCACCCATCAAGGAGCACCACGTGGCCCCTGCTCCGGGCGCCCTTCTCCTCTGTGGCCCTGACCGCTCTGCCAGCTTTGATGGTATTCACTTCCCTGCTTTTCATGATGATTTTAGGACTTAATTTTGCACCCCGAACAGTATACTTTATTTTTGCCTGCTTTTGAGCTCTACGTGAATAAAACCTTATATTCTCCTTCAAATCCTGTCTGTTCCATGGAGCTGCCTTCCTTTGCTCTAATCATGTGAAGAGCCATCCTCGCGCTGTGTACCCAGGGCTCTTTGACTTTAGCTCCACCACATGGAATTCCCTTGAAGCAACATACTGTACTGTGCATCAGTCGTCCTTGGTGGGGCTCCAGGGTTCTCCCCAGTTTGGGTCTGTATGGACAGGGCTGCTGTGACAGCTGGTGCCCAGGCATTCCTGGGGTGCCATGGCGGGGTCACTCGGGGAGGCACAGCTTCAGCTTTAGTGGGTACTCTCAAATATGCTTCCAAAGTGATGGTGCCGATTCAGACTCCCTCCTTAGCCATTTCCTTTGCCCATAGTCTCGTTAACATTTGCCTGATAGTGTCAGTCCTTCTCATTTTAGCCACTCTGCTAGGTGGATAGAGGTATTTTGTTGTGGTCTTAACTTGCATTTCCCCAATATCTAGAGACTGAAGACACTTTATATGCTTTGACCACTTGGATACCCTCTTTTGGTGGACATCCGCCACCACTGTCCTGTCCATTTGCCTCTGAGGTTGTGGTTTTCTTACTGATTGCATGTATTCTGGATACAATCCCATTGGTGATTAAATGTGCCACAAATGTCATTCTCCACTCTGTGGCTTGTCTTTTCCCTTCTTTTTTGTTTCCCTATCCCCCCATTCACACTCCAGATTAGGCAAAGAGCCTGGGCTGAGGTGTATATGGGGTGGGTTTTTTCTGCCTCCTCCTTCAACACAGTGTAAGGATACAGCCAATGGTCAGCACCAGGAGGCCTCTTTTCCTTTCCTTCATGGTACCTTTTGGTGAACAGAAGTCCTTAATTTTAATGTTTTCAAAAGAAGCCATCTTTTCCTATGCCAAGGTCATGAGTAGAATCCCCTAAATCACCTTTTTAAAGCATTTATTGTGGTGTTGTTTTTACAGGTAGGTCTCTTTCCCCGAGGTGTCTGAAATTGGCTTTGTGTCCCACTGGTCCGTCGGTCCATGTTGGTCCGGCTCAGTGTCTTCATCCTGGTACCTGCATAGTCAGGGCTGCTGTCAGGCTGAGCAAATCCTCTTGCCATGCTCTTCAATTTCATAAATATTGATTGAGTGCCAACTAAGGGCCAGACATTATTCTAGATGTCATGGACGCAATATTAAAGGACATATAAAGATCTCTGTCCTCAAAGTAGGGGCAGGTGTGGATGGAGTCAAAATAATTGAGCAACTAAGATTATTTCAGACATTTAAAAGACTTAAAAAAATTTAAATGGAATTAAGAAATTGAAAAGGTGAGTTAACTGGATAGGGAGTTTAGGGCTGGAAGGGTAGGGCTCCCTTGGCTTGAAAGTTTGGAGTCTAACATCTGAGCCAGGCGTGAGTGATGCGGGGCCGGTGCGTATGGATGGCCTCTTGGGTCCAGCCCAGCACGTGAGTAACGCAGAAGAATTCCCTCACCCACAGACTGCCACGTACTTTAGCCCCCCACAGTGCCACCTTGCCCTTGGGGTACCACAGCATGTTTGTGTGTGTTGGTATGACGGAGAACAGGAGGAGACAGTCCTTGGGTGTGAAAGGTGCTGTTTATATGTAGAGATTTCTCCCCTTTTCAATTTTAGGTTTAAGGGCTCAGAACCTATGGCTCTAGAGGAAGCAAACCCCAGCATCTTACTCACGATCATATTTGCACACCCCTGGGTTTGTGCCCCTGGCTCAGGGAGCTTAGAAAAGAGACCAAGATCAAGAGAGAACAAGTTGAGAAATAACTGTGGGTGAGAAGAATGGGGAAAATTAGAAGTTAGAACATCTATACGTTTTATCCCCTGCTCTGCTGGTCACTGACCCTGGGCCTGGGAATAAGACCCCGCCGGGACTCAGTTTTCTCATCTGTCAGGGCTGGACTGTGATCTGTTCGCTTTCTGCTAAGCAGAACAGCAATTTTATAAATGAAAGCCTCTCTGACCTCACCC